GATCACCTCCTTACTTTCCATGTGCCTGAGCATAGTTTCCAGGAGGATCTGCTCACTGATCTTGCCAGGCACAGAGGTGCGTAGTTCCCTGGGTCTTCCTTTTTTTTCCCTTCTTGAAAATGGGGGTTATGTTCCCCCTCTTCCAGTCAGCGGGAACTTCACCGGACTGCCACGACTTCTCAAATATGATGGACAGTGGCTTAGCAACTTCATATGCCAGTTCCCTCAGGACACATGGATGCATGACATCAGGTCCCATGGACTTGTGCACCTTCAGGTTCCTTAGATGGTCTCGAACCTGATTTTCTCCTACAGTGGGTGGTTCTTCATTCTCCCAGTCCCTGCCTTTGCCTTCTGAGGCTTGTGCGGTGGAGCTGGAGCACTTGCCGGTGAAGACTGAGGCAAAAAAGTCATTGAGTATCTCAGCCTTTTCCATATCCTGGGTAACCAGGTCTCCTGTTTCATTCTGGAGGGGGCCTACATTTTCCCTCATCTTACTTTTATCACTGACATACCTATAGAAGCTTTTCTTGTTGCCCTTGATGTCCCTGGCCAGATTTAATTCTGTCAGGGCTTTCCCTTTCCTAACCTGATCCCTGGCTGCTCGGACAGTTTCTCAGGCCACCTGCCCTTGCTTCCAGCCTCTGTAGGATGGAAGGTTTACCCTGATGTAAATGACACAATTAATTAGAATGGTGGGACCAATTAATTTTCCAGTTTGCTAACCAATTACAATTTTGAAAATTGATTTTGAAAAAATCCTCTCCCCTTCAATAACTGAAAGAACATTTTCAGTATTTTTTTAAAATGTTCTGGAGCAGAAAATTGAGACTTTCTTGGCAAAACAGAAAAGAAAAATTTGATCTAATGACACAGTTGATAGATTCAAGCTGGGCTCAGGAAAACAGGAAAGTGTAATGTAATTTCAAATGTTCTGTTTTAAAAACTAAAAAAAAAAAAAAAAAAAAAAATCATTCCAAGGGTTTTACTGGAACTATTTTATCAATTTGACACAAATTTAAGGAGCTTTGATCAAACCATTTTCCGGTAAATAGCATGCATGTTTGGAAAATGTTCGCATATTCTCTAGTTAGTGCTCTGCCAAGGAAACCAGACTCTGTTGTTCAGCTCTTTCTGTGTCATCAAGAGCTCCAGTTATGAAAACATCAGTCATCCGTGCAGCTCTGATTAACATCGCTGTGGGTTCTCATCTGAATTGAGGGCAGCATTGGAAATTGCAGGCTATTCAAGCACAGACAAGCAAATCAGAAGCCAAAGACAGGTGACATGGAATTAAAAGAGTGAGATGAGGTGTAATGATGGAAACACAGAGCAGTTGCTGGTATTGAGCTTTTCGGAAAGCTGCACTAGCAACATCTGCTGTTTCTCCTTCTTCTACCCCTCAGCCCGGTTTTGCTACAGTCTGTTATCAAGAAAGCAAATGTTGTAAGGCAGCTTTTTTGCCTGTCTGCTTTGAACTCAGCATGCCGTCTCCCATCCCCATCCTGACCTTGCAGTTGTGCGAGGATAGCTACAGCTTCCCCATGCTGGGATTTGTACCTTCAACTCCAGAAAGAGAATGATTACAAACCTGCAGTCTGCATCCCTCTAACTCAAGTGTGCTGGCCAGATTCCCTCTTACCTGCCAGTTTTATTTAGATAGGTTGTTCCTTCGCTCCAAACTTGGAGCAGTTAGTATTTCTGTTTCTGTTTAAGCAGCTCTTTGTGCTGTAATTTGTTTGTGAGCATGTACGTGATTCTAGTAGTACCACATGGAAATTACTCTGTGTGTGTAGATACCACATGGAAATTACTCCCCTCACTACAGGAAGGACGTTGAGGTGCTGGAGCGTGTCCAGAGAAGGGCAACGAAGTGGTGAAGGATCTGGAGCACCAGTCTGATGAGGAGCAGCTGAGGGAACTGGGGTTGTTTAGTCTGGAGAAAAGGAGGCTGAGGGGAGACCTGATCACTCTCTGCAGCTACCTGAAAGGAGGTTGTAGCCAGGTGGGGGTTGGTCTCTTCTCCCAAGTAACAAGCGATAGGACAAGAGGAAATGGCTTCACGTTGTGCCAGGGGAGGTTTAGATTTGATATTAGGACAAATTTCATCACCAAGAGGGTTGTCCAGCATTGGAAGAGGCTGCCCAGGGAAGTGGTTGAGTCACCATCCCTGGAGGGATTTAAAAGACGTGTAGATGTGGTGCTTGGGGACATGGTTTAGTGGTGGGCTTGGCAGTGCTGGGTTAATGGTTGGACTTGATGTTCACTGCAATAATGCTCTTAAGTTTAAAGGTGACATTCATGCTCCCCCTGGTGTGCCTGGCTCCATGAATGGCAGGTAGGACCAGGATCTGTCTGTTTAGGGGATATCTGGTGCTGTCAATTCCAGTCCGGTATACAATGAAGCAAACATTATATATGTATCCTACACACGCATTTCCGGTGCAGACAAGCTCTCCAGCTCCTGTAATGACATTAGCAGCTCAGAACAGTGTTGACCTTCAGGACAGTGTCCTCTCAGGGCTGGTGTCTTTCTCCAAGGTGAGAAAAGAAAGACCGGTCCTTACGCCTTACTGGTTTTTTGTGGAGGGACACAAAAGCATTAAGCATCCCACAGCACAACTCACAACAGACATGTCCCAAATGCACCAGCTGCAGATCCAGAACTCTGTCAGCATTTTCACGGTTGGGTTTTCTGGTGCAGTTCAGCCCGCCGTAGATTGCAAGCTTTACCCGCTCTGAACAACCACATAGCACTAGTGCGTAGCACTCAGTTGCTAGTTCCTTCTTATTTGTGCAATGATTTGTTCACGTTTTTTCTGTTGGTAGATTTGGAACTCAACTAGTTATATTCAAGATTACCATTTCAGAGTTACTTTTTAGAACACCAGGATACCAGCCACCCTCTTCAGAGAGTCATTCAGGTTCTTCGCTGCCAGATGTTTGATTTTACATTTGGTTAGAGTAAGAGGCATGTCCTTAAACTTGGACTCTTTTATCTGTTACATACATAAAAGATACACCATATAGTAAAAAACCCCCAAGAATCTGGATGTCATCTATGCACAGAGATGTACTCGCGTCCGTACACAAGGATCTGAGATCTGACTGGCATAGGATTGAAAGGAGTCTCTCTGGGAATTACTACCCAACATGGCAGTCCACTCTTAACCATTCCTTCTTGGAAACTATCAGCTAACCAATTTAAACTATATGATGCAGAATGCTGTATGGGGCAAATTAAATAACATATTGTGGTCTTAGTTGATAATATCAACAGTTGACTTATCTTGAAAGTTATGATTTCCTGAAAGTGTGGAGACAAGTTTAATGGACAAGCCCTTTTTTGCAGGAAACTTAATCAACATGAGCTGTGCTGCCAGCCTTTAATTCTTAAAGTGTGACATGATTTGGGGGTTAAAATACAGAAAAAGAGGCCCTTCCACATCCCGGCCTCCATTCCCTACCTGCCGCTGTCTCATGCCCTGTAAATCCGCAGCAACTGGCAGGATGCTGTCCGTTTGCCCTCATCCTGTACAGGAACGAGAAGTGATCAGACATGAACCAGCAGAAATGACATTTGAATCAGAGCAGAGGTTTGCTAATGGGGATACGTTCGGTTCAGGAGGAGGGTTAATGCAGCTTTTGATCTGATCCAAACTGGCTGGTGCCTCATCTAGAGGTGACCCTTGAGCTCACCCCTGAGCTTCAGCTACAAAATGAGCTGTGCACAGGCACGCGACCAGGGGCCAGGTATGCACATGCACGCACACCGACACACATACGCACACAGAACTTAGTAGGCTGAACCTTCCAAATCCAAACAGCTTCAGTAAACAAAAGTGAAAAGGAAGCCCATGGGCAGGTGCTGTCATCAATTCAAACTGGTGTATGTTGTCAGGATAGAGGACCCTTGAAAAGGCAAGAACAGGGATCTAATCTACGCTAATTTTGTGAGAAAATAATTCAAATCAGCATATACCAGCTCCTTATAAATCAATGCTGACACAGTTACCGATTCGCACACTGTTCTGAGAACAGAGATATGAAAGCCGTTATGCAGAGTGCCCGTCCACATCAGAAATCCTCTGCTTTGAGAAGGCGTTTGTGCTCTGGTGAAAGGGCATCACTGGCACCATCTCATCCCCCTGCGCTGAATGCTTCTGGCTTTCAGTCCAGGAGAGTGCATCCCTTCAGTGCCAGGTGCGCTCTCAGGCCAGACAAACTCATTACGCTTCATTTTCCAGCCCATTGAAAAGGCAAAACGCTGAGCTAATATTTTTCTGCAAGCTAGGAAGTCCAGCTGGAACATGACGTTTGCTATCCTGCAGTTTTCTTTACGTTGGGGCTAGAAGGGCACGGCCACGTAAGATGGTGCTGCAGCGTATCTGAGGTCTCTTACTTGGGCCAGCTGAGCTTTTCCAGCATGTTAAGTCTTTCCGTCCCTTATTCACAGAGGAATTCCCTTTCAACTAAAACCACCTATTTGACTCCAGAGTGAACAAGTCTGCATGAGACAGGTGAGGAGAAGGTATAGGTGAAGGAAAGTAGCTGAAGACTCAGGAGACTTCACTGGACCTATATTTTGAAGGTTTTCCTTTGCAAACACAAAAATATTAGAGCCTTTGGATTTATTCTCTTTTTCTACTGGAAGTTCAGATTAGGAGGTGCAAAATGGGAATCTTGCAGATTCACAAACCTTGCTACCAGTCTGCCACACTTCTCCAAAGTGGCTTTACTGTCTAACTGAGAATATGTCTAACTGTCCTGTCAGGCACATTTGTATGGGATCTTGAGGTTTGTTGATCATACCACAAAAGCAGAAGATGCGATGTTTGTCATCTTGTTGCTGGAGCGCAGAGACTGTACACAGATCCCATAATGACAGTGGAGGGGAGACGGTGCCAACAATTCGAGGAAAGTCTGGCAGGAAGCTTTGAGGAAGCCTCCCATGCTTTGACATATCAGAATGACTCTCTCTCTCTTCATTTTCTCTACAGGCAAGAAAAATTCCATTCTGCTGCACAAAGTCCAGCATGACCTCAATTCAGGTGTTTTCAACTACCAAGAGAATGAGATCATCCAGCAGATTGTGCAGCATGACAGAGAGATGGCACACTGTGCTCACAACGTCCAGGCTGCTGCCGCTGCTGCTGCCGCTGCCGCATCCACACCCACCCCTGTCATCTGGACTCCGCTGATCCAGGCACCCCTGCAAGCTGCAGCAGCCACCACTTCTGTGGCTATAGCTCTGACCCACCACCCACGCCTCCCGACAGCCATCTTCCGTCCTCCGGTGTCTGTCCTGGGTTCCTTGGGACAGCAATCCAATCAGACTCCAAGACAGCTGAAAAGGCTTCAGTCCCTAATCCCATCGACTGGACCGTCTGCCGTTGGCTCTCCATCCAGTACTCCGTCCCAGCTGCATACACCAGGAGCAGAAACTCCTTCGTCCTCTTCCTTCCACATCCAGCAGCTCGCAGGATTCTCAGCTGCCGCCGGCTTAGGCCAGTTCCAGGTGGGATCCCCTCCAGGTGGGTCAAGCCAGCCGGGTTTGAGCAGCATGTCCTCAGTGGGACTGAGCCAGTTCCAACAAGCACCTTCTGGATCACCCTTAGGTACCGCTCAGCCCACGCAACAGCAGCAGCCGCAGCAGCAGCCGGCCCTTTCCAGCAGTGGGTTTGGGCACTTCCAGCAAGCCACAACTAGCTCCCCATCAACATCACTCACTCAGCTCTCATCAAACTCACCCCCCAGTCTTCTCAACCAGTTCCAGCCCACCACAAGACCACTGCAGGGGGGACAGTTACAGCAGCTCTCGGGCAGTGGGACTTTGGGGGGAATGAATCACTTCCAACCCCCTCCTTCTTCCAACTCTCCATCGTCCAGCCTCAGCCAGCTGGCACAGGCCTCTGCCGGGCCGTCCTCAGGCCTGTGCCAAACACATCCAAGTGCATTAGGATCTTTAACTGGAACGATAGCCCAGCTTCACCAAGAACGGCCTCCTTTTGCCTCCATGTCTCCACTCCAACAGTCTGGTGTCGCCTCTCCCTGTTATACCCCTTCTGGCCTTAGTCCTCCTAGTCAGAGCCCAGTGGCAACGAGAACTTTTCAATGTGGCCCTTCCGGGGCCTCAGGCTCTCACGGATCTCTGCTCCTGCCTCAGACCGCCAGCCCACCTCCGCAGATCCTGCAGTCCAAGAGTACGCCGCCTGTGCCGCCGGGACGTCTGAGCCAGGACATCAAGTTGATTTCTGCTTCCCAGCCATCTTTGCCCCAAGAGCTGGCTCAGACACTGAGCCAAAGTTCTCCTCATTCCTCTAGAGAATCTGTTTCCAGCTTCTCTCCTTTTCCTGCCGGAGGGACTGGACTTCTTGGGAAGCCTTGTAGCTCAATTCCTGGGCGTGTGACTTTACCGCGTCAGATGTCCTCAGGTTCTTTACCACATCCGCTGGTGTTTGGGGCCAGCGCTGCAGGCGCTGCTTCTCTGACTGCTGGTGGGCGGAAAGAATCCATAGTGCTCACAGGGGATCTGGAACCTGTCAGATCCAAACTGCCCTCCAATTTGTGAGGACTCCTTCTGAGAGCTGGTTATGTCAGCCGTGCAATTCAGTTCCTGATTAGACTTTCATGAATCATTTTTTCCTTTTCTTTTCTGCTCCCTCCCCCCTTTTTTTTCCTCCATTTCTTTTGTTTAGGTTTAACTGTGATTAGAAACAAACAAAAAACACACGAAAAACAACAAAAAAAGAAGATAACCAGGTATTCTTAGAGCTATAGATTTTTGGTCACTTGATTTTATAGAATATTTTAATACATGGAACAAAAGGATATGAGCAAATTTAATCCAACGAGGTAACGCACAGACAAGGCGTGTGCCTGAGCTGGACCATACGAATGATCAGCCATAGAAGCCACCAAAAAAGGGTTTTCCTGTTGAGACAAAGATCTGAGGTTGACGTGGGCCATAAAAGGGAACATCAGGTCAGGCCTGTAGCTGGTGTTTTTAGAACAGCTCTGGTTGGCCTCAGCTTTGCATCGCTTTGCACCAGCTGTGAACCTGGCCCGCAGCACCTATTTATGGGGGGACTTGGATGGCTCACTGTGCGCATCAGAAAGATTCGCTTCCTCCCAGGTTTCCTCCTGCGATCAGCAGGTTGGAGAGGAAGCAAGAAGAGGGGTGAGTTTCATTAACGCAGTCCCCTCTAGGGATTCCAGAAGGGCTGAGTTCTTGTTTGGACTCCATCTGAAGAAGATAAAAGTGACCAGGAGATGGACGGGCCTGACTTCAGATGCTTGTCTCTTTCTTATTCCACTGATGCTCTAGTGGGAACAAGAAACAATCCCTTTTAAGTCACAGGGAGGGCAGTGAGTATCCCCTCTGTATTTTTGTAGACGTCGTGGATGCGGGAGAAGTCCCGTCTCTCTGCCAGCACGCCAGGCAGCTGGCCTCAGCCAGCAGAAGAGCCCAAGCGTCAACCTCTCCATGGTTTGGAAAGCGTGTGTGCTGCCTTCCAGGTTGGGGTGTGCAAAGCAAGGGGAGGGATGAAGAAAGAGGCAGCACTTTAACCTTCCCTCTCTCATTTTAATGTCTCAGTGTCCATGGGCTGACTGCTTTGAAGAGAACTGGGTAGAATAAGATTAAAAAGGGGGGTGCAGTCACCCCAGCCCTCTTTCAACCTCTCCATGGTTTGGAAAGCGTGCGTGCTGCCTTCCAGGTTGGGGTGTGCAAAGCAAGGGGAGGGATGAAGAAAGAGGCAGCACTTTAACCTTCCCTCTCTCATTTTAATGTCTCAGTGTCCATGGGCTGACTGCTTTGAAGAGAACTGGGTAGAATAAGATTAAAAAGGGGGGTGCAGTCACCCCAGCCCTCTTCCTCCTTAGCCCAGGGGAGTTTGAGCTTTGAGGCACCGAGGGTAATACTGGTGCCAAGCCAAGAATCCTCCAGATTTGCAACTACGTTTATACCATTAAACCAGATTAGACCAGAAATTTGGCCAGCCGTGGTCCATGCTTCTCCTCTGATAGGGGAATTGAAATCGTTTGCTTGATTTCACCAGCAATAACAGCCTGCACCTGATTGGCTTTGGTCTCGCCCTGCGGTTGCAGCATCACTGGACACATCTGGGGCCTGGCAGGCACCTGGAGCTGGATTTTTTGGGCTCCCCTGATATAAGGCAGTCAAAGCGGGATGAAGACAGCAAGGGGCCGTTGGGTGGACACAGCACTGAGAAGCTACAGCCTTTACCTCTAGAGCAAATGTCTCCTTTTCTTTTACTTTGACCCTTCCTATCTCTTTCAGTTTGTATTTTTCTTTTTTCTTAGGCCAAGAGGTGTCTCTGGCCACCTCACTGTAAAGAGTCAGGTGCTCAACTTTTCTAACACTTGTTAGAAACACACGTCCAGCCTCCCTCTGTTTCCAGCTATCGTGGGGTCCCTCCAGCCCTCAGAGGGAAAGCAGGACTTCATGCAGCAGTGCCAAAAAACTTACTATTATCACAGTAACGATACAGGTCCATATAACTCCCTCTCTTACCTCCTCCCACCCCCGACCCTCTCCCAAAACACTGGCTGACAGTTGGTTTTTTTATACCGAATTGTTTGCAAAACTCTTGACATGTGCCTGTATCTTGAATGTTGCTGCAAGCATTCCTGGGCACTCCTGCTTCAGCGTGCTTTGGTGGCTCAGAATTCAGATGTAATCAGCTTTGGTCTTCCTTAAAGGGTCAGGGGAACTCTAGAAATGTTTTTTCTACTAGCTACATACAACTATATATGTGTGAGTGTGTGTGGTGGGAGGGGTGCGTGTGTGTGTGTGTGTGTGTGTGTGTATAGATTATATATATATATCTATATATACACACATGCTTTTATATATATAGTATACAGTTATACACATATGTAGTCTATTTATGCACATGTGTAAGCACGCGCACACACACACACACATATTTATATCTATATATAGCCTAGTTTTAAAATACTTGTCAGTTTTGACCCTCCTGTAGGACTGATTGGCAGGTGATAATTATAATATGTAGATCCTGCTTTTCCAAATATGTACAGGTTCATCTCGAGACAGAATCGGTTGACAGGAACGAAGCAGACTCACAGACCCTCTCATATTTTTCAAAGGTACGAGGCAGTTCCTAGAAGGAAGACTCACAATATCCTTTTGAGTTTTAGATTTGTTTTAGCAATCTTTTTTTTTGTCCCTGTATGCTAGAGGGCCCCTAGGATGAGCATCTCGAGAGGTTGGGAGCTAAGCTGTTTGGGTCTGGGGTATCTAATATAAGCAGGTGGGAAAGGTCTTCAGCCCAGCAATGCCAAGCCCTCACGGATGTCTGTCCTGTGACTGCTGCATTGGTACTTGAATCTCAACAACCCCTGTGGACACTCAGACAAATGGAGGTGCACAAAACCACCCCGAGGGCTGTCTCTGGTAGACGTGCGTTCCATCCACCAGGCTGGTGAACATCCTTCTTTGGCTGGGTTCCTTTGCTTTGTTTTTCACAGGGATATTGTTTGATTTTCCAGTTCTTAGCAGTGCAGTAGCCAATATTGAGTTATTCCGACTGGACCCCAGTCAACACTAGGCTTGTCTCAGTAGGTGGAACTATATTAATTATTATTGTTATTTTTTGGTTTATTTTGGGGGGAAGGGAGGGAAGAGTTCTAGGGGTGGGGTTTGCAATATAAAACACACAATAAAAACCTTAGTAAATAAAAACGTGAAAAACCCATCCCTCTGACTTGCTGTCTGCTTTAAGTGTTGAACTTCAGGCAACATGAGATGAGGTTTAAAGAAGAAAAAAAAACCTGGGTGGCATTTTCGCCCTCTCTTTCCTGTTGAACAGAGAAGATGCAGGGTTTTGTCTGACTCCCTGTCTGCATTTTCCTGATGTCTTTAGAGCTTTAACAGTGTGTTTACCTGCTGCAGCATCTCCACCTCACACATTCTTGTGGGAAACGTGTACTAAGCCATTGACAGTAAAAGTTTAAAAGTTTTGCCTACCCTTGAATTTTTAACAGGACAAAGGAGAGATCTGGTAGTTGTTTTGCAATTGTGAGATGTATCAAAGTCCTTCACATTAATGGCAGATACGGAAACCCTGGTTGACTTTGTGATCCTCGGAGAAGAGCCTAAGGAGCCCTACCGCAGAATCCAGACCTTAACAGCTTGGAATAGGGACTATCACAGAAAGCGAACAGAAAAAGGGAGCAAGGAAGTAGCCGTTTCGAGGTCTCAGACTAAGCTGGATGATGATGCCAAGGTCAGGACCTGATGTATTTTAGGAAGGTAAAACTAGCTTCAACTCTTAGCTTTCGTTTTGCTCTTGTCTTAGCCTCTTTTAGTCTTTGTCCAAACCCACCCTAGGAAGCAGGCACAAAATTGATGATTTGGGTCGGTAGCTCACACGGGAGCTCTGTGGCCTCATGCCCTTTTTTCATAGCCAAGAAAATGTAGGGCAAAGCAGCCCAGCTGCTGGAGTGGGTCCTACAGCCTGTAGCAGTGAGATACAGCTAGATACCTTCCTCCTCCCTGCTCCCTCTCCTCCAACCAATTGATACCAAGAGCGTCACCTCTCACCTCCGTGCAGGGCCTCACCTCTGCCTTGCTGATAGTCTCACATTCATTTTTCCTTCTCTGAAATCTCATTTTCTTGGTACTTTCTCATCCAATGGTTGCATTTAGCCCTCTGACATCTTGCCCAGCCTCTGAAAGACTTGAATTTGCTGACACGTCAACAGTGTGTCTTTGCTGCCGAGATGGCAGCAGGGTCCTTTACCAGGAGTCCCGATGCCAAAGATAGCAAAAAAGGAAAAAAAGGAGCCCAAGGTCCACGAATGAAATCAGTATTTTTCGGAGAGGGACTCACAGACGCACACACACTCTCACTAACAGTGCAGCACGGGCACAGTCAAAACAGGACGCTCCTTTTCTCTTCCCCCCTGCTTCTGGTGGTCCAGGAAAATGGGAGAACGTGTTGGTCTCCCTCCATCAATTCTCTGACCTTGTCTGGCTGCAAATGAGCAGAACTGGTGAGGAAAGAGTAAACCAAACATTTTAATCAGAAAATTCTGTGCCCTTGAAACCACATGGCTTTTAATCGTCCTGGGATGGGAAGTTCAGGCAGTAAAATGTTTGTTTTGCCTTTCAAAATGAATGTCTGTGCCAGGCTTTTTTATTTTACATGCCATTATTATTACAGAGGAAACTTGGGATCATGAGTCAGTCCGGCCCAATCAAAAATTTCTTTACAAATTACATTTCACAGAAGATTTGTAAACGTGAATAGAACAAAATCCCAGTTTTGAGCTCTTAAACTTCCCTGTGAAACCTGCCTCTTGTTCTCCACGAACAACTAGCAGGGATTCAAGCGCCAGCTTCACGAAAGGATGGGCAGGACTGTATCAGGAAGCTCTCGTGCCCTTCCTGAGGGCAGAGCAGATCGCAATAACACAATAACCATGAGGTCCTCATCCCAAGCATGATACCAGAGCAGTTAGTGTCACGGCTTAGCTAATGGAGTCTGATCTCTGCCTCACCCAGAGTATTTCAACACAGTT